ATTTTGCCTTATATTTGTTGAGCTAGGCTTAGGTTTGAGATTTAATTCACATACCTTTATTGTGACCACTGACACATTTTGATTTATTTTACCTTGAAAATTTTTGTTCTACTGCTACAACATGGATGAACCTTAAAACCATTATGCTGAGTGAAATAAGTCAGTCACAAAAGGACAAATATTTTATGATCACTTTATATGAAATATCTGGAATAGGCAAATGTATAAAGACCAAAGTTCATTAGTGGTTACCAGGGGCAAGCGGAAGGTGAAAAGGGAGTCACTGCTTAGGAGGTACTGAGCTTCTGTTTAGGGCGATGGAAAAATTTGGAAATGGATGGTGGTGATTGTTGCACAACATGATGAATGTAATTAATGTCGCTGAATTGTACATATAAAAATGCTGAAATGGCAAATGTTTTGTTATATATATACTTACCACAACAACAAAAAAACTGTTTTCTATTTGCCATGCTCTTTCTAGGCTTCTCTTTTCTCTTTCCCTGCCTTGTATTGGCTTGATCAAGTGTTCTCTCCAAAGTTATATATTGTTTTACTACTCCTTTAGAGGTTCCATTTACATTATTAATTGTATACTTGCCTTAAAAATTCTAAAGCTAATCAACTGCTCTTCTTAAACAATATAAGTACTCTATGATGCTTTTACTATAATTACTACCCTCCTATTTTCTATGCCCTGGTGGCGCGGTGGTTAAGAGCTCAGCTGCTAACCAAAAGGTTGGTGGTTCAAATCCACAAGCTGCTCCTTGGAAACTCTATCGAGCAGTTCTACTCTGTCCTATAGGGTCACTATGAGTCAGAATCAACTCGACGGTAGTAGGTTTGGTTTTTTTATCTTCTGTGTTGGAGCCCTGGTGGTGCAGTGGTTAAAGCACTCGGCCGCTAACCTAAAGGTTGGTGGTTCAAATCCACCAGCCGCTCCACAGGAGAAAGATGTGGCAGTATGCTTCAGTAAAGGTTTACAGCCTTGGAAACCATATGTGGTCGCTATGAGTCGGAATCGACTCAACAGCAGTGGGTTATCCTCTATGTTACCATTATCTATTATTTAATTCCACAAATATACCCTCAATTAGTCATTATTAGTAGTTTTAAAACATTCTAGGCTAATTTAGATTTGACTAAGTGTTTAGCAATTTCTTTGTTTATTAGCATTCTAGCATTATCCTAGCACTCCCCCTCCTCCTTCGTGAACTCATTTTCTTTTTCTTGAAGTACATCCTTTACTAGCTCTTTCAGTGTGGGTCTCTGAGTAGTCACCTCTCTCAGTCCTTCATTGTCAAAAACTATTTTCATCCGCAATTCTCAGTTCCTGTTCCCCATTTGTGTGAGCCCAAGACCACATTTCCTATTCCCTTATGGGCATTATACCTCCAGGCCCTGGGCATTAGAGCCTACTATCAGTTCTGATATCCCCCAGCCTCCATAGCATTAGCTTGTCTACTATCTATTCTGTTTGAGCTCCCTCTTTACTTCTAGTATGTGAGGATTAACCTTTACAGGTTTTGAACTTAGCTATATATTGCTATATTTCATCCTGTGTTTGTCATAGGAGATGGGGAAAGGGTCTACATTAATCTTTTTTAGTCACTGTTCTTGGATGTCCAGATATTCTATTTATAACAAATTCCCCTCTTACTAATGTTTATTATTCACCTTTAAAATAAATATCACATCTTTTAATAGAGAAAACAGATATGACAGAAACAGCTGGACAGTTCCTTATTCTGTTTCAGCAAAGGTTGTAAAGTTTTCTAATTTTTTTCCATGATTTTGGTACATAGGGAACATTCCCCAGGCAGTAACTTGGGAGAATGTAACTGTCTGCCAAGAAATGGAATTTTCCATAGCTTTGTATCTATTTTCCTCTGTCTCCCTCACTGCTCTTTGCTCCACAGAGGTGATTCCTGAAGAGAAACCTGCTCAGTATTTGATTTACACCCTCTGCACTAAGAATGCCAAAGCGGCATATTAAGAAACCTGTCTCTGAAAAGGAAAGCATTCCCAGGCCAGACTCCGAGTTCAGCTATCCTTGCAAATCAACAGCTGGCTGGAGGCTGAACCGGTTCCAACTCCTGGAAATTCACAGCTACTAACAGATGAATGGGATTGATCTCATTTGCATTTCATTGTGACTCAGGAATTCCCTGGTACTGCATCCCTGGGCAAATTAAAAAGTGTTGGTTTCATCAGCCCAAGGCCTTCACTGTCAGGATATTGGCCTGGGAGACATCCATGACCCTAGTGAGAGGACCCAAACTCTCCTAATGAGAAGGAATAATCCACTTCAGCCTGCGGGAGGGTGTAGCCAATGTGACAATGGTGGGATCCAAATATGGCTCCTCTCAGAAGCATCGGAACCCATCCGGGGCACTGAGAATAGATAAATGTTCACAGGTGACAGTGAATAAACTGGGGGCACCATCCAGCTATTATGTTGGAAATGTTTTCTGAATTATCACCTATGGGCTGGAAGGAAGGACTATAGGTGGGGGTTAAAAGTACTCATAAAAATATGTACAATACATACAATTTATATATACAATATAAGACTTCATAGCAAAGGTTCCAGTCATACAATGGTGGTGACAGGAGGAGAGCAGGTTTTATATATATATATATCTCAGCTACTAACAGAAAGGTTGGCAGTTTGATCCCACCCAGTGGATGCATGGGAGAAAGACCTGGAGATCTGCTCCCATAAAGCCGACAGCCTAGAAAACCCTATGGGGCAGTTCTTCTCTGTCACATGGGGTTGCTATGAGTCAAAATTGACTTGACAGCACCTAACAACAACTCTATATATATATCTATATAAAATTCTGGCCCTACTGGGTCAAATGAAGCTAAAGTCCTGTTTTGCTTGGCAAAAGGCAGGTTAACAAAAAAAAAAAAACAAAAAAAAAAAACACCCAAATCTATTGCTGTCAAGTTGATTCCGACTCATAGCGACCCTATAGGACACAGCAGAACTGCCCCACAGGGTTTCCAAGAAGCAGCTAGTGGATTTGAACTTCCGACCTTTGGTTAGCAGCTGAACCCTTAACCACCGCACCACCAGGGCTCCAAAAGACAGGCTAGAGTGTGTTGTTTCTGTCCCTTCTTTCTGCCTAATTAACGGAATTGCTAGGCACAAGAGGAGTAGATGTCACTTGTCTCTTACTTCATCTCTCTCAAGGTTTTCAACTCTCCCCAAGGCTTCTTCCATGTGGACAAAAATATTTGACCCAGCATGGAAGCCCCGTAGACACATCCAAACTCCCTGAGGGACTGAATTGCTGGGCGGAGGGCTGTGGGGACCATGGTCTCAGGGAACATCTAGCTCAATTGGCATGACACAGCTTATAAAGACAATGCTCTACATTCTACCTTGGTGAGTAGTGTCTGGGGTCTTAAAAGCCTGTGAGC